GATCTTGGAGTCTTAGTGGAGTTTCTGGTGAGTTACCTGATTCTTATTGTTTGGGAATTAATCCTCTCAGAGGCTAGTGGCTATGTTATCTGGTTTTCTCAATAGCTCTCTCACAAGTGTTGAGTGGATTGTTTATCTAGCTTGCAACACTTTTACGAGGTGTGAAATGCTCTTGGCTGAACGCCCAGAAGTTCAATTAAGCCTGCTAAGAGCTTTCCCTTGCTGCTTGTCTTTCTGAGGTTATTGGGGGCTCTCCAAGCCCCACAGAGTCTTAGCTAGGGGCTCTCCTGAGCCCCTGCGAGCCCCCAGAAGCCCACCCCTGGGTGTGCCTTGTTTAATCTCCCAAGGCTGCTGAATCTGATCTGCAACGAAGCGGCACTGATGATATCACCTACTTTGGTAACGAAACATTTGCAAGAAAACCACCAAGCTCAGGAGAGCACCAAGTTCTGACCCACAGCTGCAAATATGCTGTCCAGTAACTGCTGAATCTTTGCACACAATTTATTTTCAAGATACAAAAATCAAGGGCTGGATTATGCTCAAGGAAGAAACATGCAGAAATGTACAGGAATTGGGGGATAAGGAAAGTAGCAGGTTTTGCATTATAGACTTTATGTATAAGTGGGCCAGTGGTGAAATTCAAAATTTTTTCCCTATGGCTCTGTGGACATGGCTGTGGGCGTGGCTTGGTATACTTGGTATAACAGTAATAGCAACCAGGAGTGATTTTTTTACCGATTCAAATCGTTTGTACCACCTCTCCTGAGGTGGGCTGAGGTGGTTGAGTTTCACCCCTGAAGTGGACTATCAAAGAGAAAAACTCACAAAACCTCAGTTTTGGGGGTGGGGAATCTTAGTGGACAATCACTTAAACATGAGCCAGCAGTGTGCAGCAACAGCCAAAAAAGCTAATACAATCCTTGGTTGTATAAAGAGGCATAGAATCAAAATCACATTAAGTATTTATTAGTACTCCTTTATAAAGCCTTGGTAAGGCCACATCTGGAGTACTGCACCCAGTTTTGGTCACCACATTACAAAAAAAAAAAATGTTGAGACACTTAAAAAAGTGCAAAGAAAAGCAACTAAGATAATTAAAGGCCTGGAGACTGAAACATGAAAATTGGTTGGAGGATTTGGGTTTGGCTTGTCTAGAGAAAAGGACTAGGGGGGACATGATAACAGCATTCCAGTATTTGAGGGGCTGCCCCAAAGAAGAGGGGGTCAACTTATTTTTCCAAAGCACCAGAGGGCAGGACAAGAAACAATGGATGGAAAGTAATCCAGGAAAGAAGCAACCTGGAATTGAGGAGAAACTTCCTAATAGTAAGGAATTAACCGGTGGAACGACTTGCCTTCAGACATTGTGGGGGCTTCATCACTGGAGGTTTTTAAGAAGAGATTGGACAACCACCTGTCTGAAATGATATAGAATTTCCTGCTTGAGGAGGGGGCTTGACTAGAAGACCTCCAAGGTTCCTTCCAGCTCTATTCTGGACTGAAGACAAATTCATTTTGTGTCCAATTACACTTGGTCAATAAAGAATTCATATTCTATTCTATTCTTACATTCCCTGTTGCCATTACAAATTTACCTACCCCCTTTTCCTCATTGGCTTAGTACTCGTACCATCACAACCTAGCCGAAGCGTCTAAAGTGAATACACTATCTCCACTCCTGATTACATCTCCCATTACTATAATTCTATCACTCTCTGCCCTTATTTACAAATTACCTTTTATGATCCTACCTAGTTCCTAGGAGTTGTCTCTAAAGTAACTATCATATCAGCAAATCCTGGTTAAGACCAGTTTCTAACAGTGGCCTTCCTACATACAATTCTCAGGTTTCAGACTAGCTCATGAGATTAGAAATATAGAATACAATGCATTTTCTTCACAGGCTAGCATGTCTTCTTACAGTTTCTGTAAAAACAATAAGCTCTGTTTCCCACAGATTGAAATTCTATTTTTTAGATAAAGGATAGGGGCTCTTACATCATATCCGAATCTTTCACAATAATTATCTTGGTCTCATACACACATGCAATACAATGAATCTCTTTCTGATCCAATTTTTTCCCCAAGGCAATAAACTGAGGCCTGGGTTTACACAATTCTAAATTGCATTAACAGCGGGATACAATCAAGATCAAGTGAGGTATTAATACCACTCTATAAAGCCTTAGTAAGACCACACAGTTTTGGTCACACTATAAAAAAGAAGTTGAGACTCTAGAAAAAGTGCAGAGAAGAGCAACCGGGATGATTAGGGGACTGGAGACTAAAACATGAATGGTTGGCAGGAACTGGACATGGCTAGTCTAATGAAGAGAAGGATCAGGGGAGACATGATAACAATGTTCCAATATTTGAGGGGCTGCCACAGAGAGGATGAAGAGGTCAAGCTATTTTCCAAAGCACCCGATGGCCAGACAAGGAACAATGGATGGAAACTGAACAAGGAGAGATTCAACCTGGAAATAAGGAGAAACTTTTTGACAGTGAGAACAATCAACCAATGGAACAGAAGTTGCCCCCGGAAGTTGTGGGAGCTTCATCACTTGAGACTTTCAAGAAGAGATTGGACTGCCATTTGTCAGAAATGGTGTAGGGTCTCCTGATTGGGCAGGGGGTTGGACTAGATGACCTACAAAACAATCTGCCGTAGTGGGAAGATGGCTGCTCACGCTGGCAACAGAGATGACTGACATTCTGCCCTCCCTCTCTTTAATTTGCAGATAGGTTTTTTTTCTTGTGGGCACAACTGCACCCATCAGTGGTGCTGCAGTCGTTCCAGACAGAATGACCCACGTTTGCGAAATGCATGTGCAGTAAATCCTTTCCAGACATGAGCCACTTAATCCGGCAGAGCCTACTGTTTGTATGAATTCAGCTGCTGGGTTTGTAGAACTGGGTTTAGGGAAGTGTTTTTCAACCTCAGCAGGTTTAAGATAGGTAGATGTCATTGCCCAGAATTGCCCAGCCAGCATGCTTTGCAATATGTGGGGTTCACCTCACAGAATCCCCCAGCCCGTATGCTTTAAGATAATGGGGTTCAGCTCCCAGAATTCCCCACTAGCATGCCTTAAAATGTGTGGCACCATCTCCCAGGACCCCCTGCCCCCCAGCCAGAATGCTTTAGTCCAGAGGTCTCCAACCTTGGCAACTTTAAGCCTGATGGACTTCAACTCCCAGAATTCCCCACCCTGCTTTAGTTAGTATATGAGTCATAGTGGCACAGTGATTCGAGTGCAGACAGACTATTTCTGCTGACTGCCAGCTGCCTGCAGTTTTGCAGTTCAAATCTCACCAGGCTCAAGGTTGACTCAACCTTCTGTCTTCTGAGGTGGGTAAAATGAGGACCCACACTGTTGGGGGCAATAGGCTGATTCTTTAAACCACTTAGAGAAGGCTGAAAAGCACTGTGAAGCCGTATATAAGTCTTATATAAGTCAACCAATGGAGGAGCTTCCCCTCAGAAGTTGTGGGAGCGCCATCACATGGGACCTTCAAGAAGAGATTGGACTGCCATCTGTCAGAAATGGTGTAGGGTCTCCTGCTTGGGTGGGGGGTTGGACTAGATGACCTATAAGGTCCCTCCCAACTCTGATTATCTGTTATCTTAGTGCTAGTAAGGCAGGACATAGAAATATATTAATTTTAGAGAAATAATGATACAAGTTTAATAGATAGTGAAATATGTGGTATTAGCAAGAGAAAGAACAAGGACGTGTGAAAAGCCAAACCATAAGGATCATCTAAGTCATATTTGCCAAGAAACCTTGTCTCACTTGTAACAAAAGCACAAGCTAGGGAGTTTAGCAAAATGGGTTTGTGACATCCAGCCATCCTAGACTAGCAACAGGGGAGGAGGAAAGCTGTGTTTCAAATAACCAATGAATGACTGACAAGTTATATTTCTGTGTTTTGCGCCTTTCTGAAGAAGTATATAGGCACGTGCTGTTCTATAAGAAGTTTGTTCAGAAGTGACTCTCACTAAAATACTCTGAACCTGTTTGCACAAATAAAACCAACTTATTTTTGGATTCCAAGGTCTGAGTCTCTTAATTTCCTGCAACATTTACGGCAACTCCGTCACAACTCAGAGCGATATTTTGCTGAGGACGGCATGGACCGACCGGTGCCCAGCCGGGGCCGTCTCGCTAACCCTTCAGTCCATACGGATGATTTATCTGGAAGGGGCAGACGGCACCGTAGGGGTATCTGGGGGACAACTGACCAATCCAAAGACCAGAATGGAATCAAAAATAAGTTATGAAATAACGCCGACTGTAAAGAAGACGCCTGCAGGCAAGTTTAAGTATTGTTGAATTGTAGCCCCGTTCATTTGAGAGTGGAAGAGGGGGCCTGATCACCTCCCTGGGTCCGGGATCAGTGAATCCTAATGAGGCCCAAGAGTTTTGTGGGTGGTTAAGCCATTGCAGTTCCTGTTGGTGACCGTTGGAACGTCCGGCATCGCAGGTCAGTGGCAGTGTCTTAGAAATGGGTGGTGGAGGAAGTGTCCCCCGGACACCTCTTCAATGTATGCTGAGGAATTTTAAGAAGGGTTTTAGTAGAGACTATGGAAATCCTAGATCTCAGGCCAAGAAGGATCAGATTGAAACCAAACCTGTCTTGATAATCCTCCTCCATATGCTCCTGTGTATTTTCATCCAATGGCCCAAGGCAGGCAAAGACCCCCAACCCCACCCCCAATGATAATGATGGCAATTATCAAATTCCCAGGACAGGAGCAGGGAAAACAAAAAAAAAAACCAAAAAAACAGATAGGGGGGTGGGCCCTCTTCCCCCCCCCCCCCCCCTTGAACCCTTGGTCCGAATGAAGATAGGGGGCATCTAGATCTGTAATTACTAAATTATTGGCTCCCTTTTCTGCTGATGTTATAAAGATATGCCCGAGTGTCCCGTTCCTTTATTGGGCCAGGACACGTTATGCAAAAATAGGGGCAACTTTGTCATTTGAGGAACACAAAATGGCACTAATCGTGAAGCATTATGAAGATGACTTTAAAAAAAAAATCCGTAAAAATGGTGGCCCAAGAGGTTTGTGTCAATACTTGGCAGGAGTTTGATGTGCACCAATTATGGGCAAAAGGTAACCCAGCAGGATATGCAGTTCACCATGCAAGTAGTCATTCAAGTGAAGCCTCTGGCAGTACCTGTTTTGTCTCCGGCAGAGAAGTTACCCTCGCCCCATTGCACAAGCAATTCAAGATAGAGAGGATCGGCAGTTATCCAAGTTGGGAAATCTCAACAAAAATGGGGAATTCTTGTAGTTGTTGCAGCTAACTTTCTTGCTGCAGGAGGTACAGCAAACCCTTAGAGGTGACTCTAATATGTAAGGGCGTGAAAATGCCCTTTAGAGCAGTTATTGAGCCAGTGGAGTGAGGAAAACCTACTTCCCTGGACTAAAAGTTTAAGTAAGAACAGAATGATAAATTTGTGCATTGAAAAATGGCAAAATACATAATCGAGGGACCACAATACAGGTGGGATCATCTGGGGGAAACAAGCAAATGTTGGTTGTGTAAACAATACTTAATCAAGAGACCTACCTTAAAAATTGAAATAGCATATCTTAAACCCTGGTATTTTGTAAATTGGGAAATATCTGAGTCCCCAGCAGACGATAGTAAAATGCTTTTGACTAAAGAAGAACCACAAATCTCCTTAAGGACTGGGAAATAGGTAAGGTTGGTGTCATATTTGGAAACAGGCATAGGAGTGTCTACCTGGAATTAGTGAGATTAGGCCCGTGTTCTCCATGGAGCCCATGGGGACACGTTAAACAGTAAAATTTGTCTTTAAAATGAAAAGTGGAGTTCAAACTTGGTCATGAGAGCCCTCACCCAGGTGCAAACAAAGGTCTCTATAGATCTTGATCTTTAAAAAATAAGCCAGCCTCGTCTGGGAGGTCTAAGATAAGATAGAGAACAATTTGGATTTTTAAAAATAAGCCAGCGTAGGCTGAGAGATCCAAACTAGAAAGAGAAGAGATAGAACACCCAGGGCAGAGACAGGTAGTAAAAATCTAGTGCTTAACAATGAATGTAACTTCAAGTAAAAGTGACAAGCTCACTAAAGCAATAAGAACGAAAGCCCAATTATTGAAACCCCAAGTTAAATACTTAGGTTATACTATAAGTCAAGGCCACAGAGCTATAGGACATGAGAAAAAGGAAGCTGTGTGCCGAATTACAGAACTAACTGACAGGAGAGAGTTACAGGTTTTTTTAGGAGTAGCAGGATATTGTAGGATATGGATACCAAATTTTGCCCTGCTAGTCATACCACTCTATGAGTCCACAAAAGGGGGAGAAAGGGAATCCTTTGTTTGGATGTGTAAACAAAAACAGGCTTGAGATTTTAAAAAAATTAGGATCTCAAGCTCCTGCTATGAGACTTCCCAATCTTGAGAAATCTTTCGATTTGTATGATCAAGAAAAAGGGAAGTGGCAACAACCCATTGCTAAAGAAAGAAAAAGCGGAGATTTAAAGAGACAAAACCTCCTCCCCAGGTCTGGAAATGTTGTGTGTGTGAATGTGTCTGTGTGTAATCATTTCCAAACCTGGAGGATGAGACCCTCTAATAACAGTAAAAAAAACAAAATGGAGCTCATTGGCTTGTGAGAAAAAGCTCTCAGAAAAGAATTGTAAGTAATGATTGATTTGCTTGGAGAAAGAATGAAATGAAATGAATTTTTTGTGTGAGAAATTGGTTATGCAAGCAGCCTGATTACAGTATAAATGTGTGAGTATGTTGATGATGAAGAAAAAAAAACATTGGTGTAAATGTTTGTGTGTTGACCCCCATCCCAGATTGAAAGGAGAGTACTTTCATATAAAGAAATTGCATATACAAGGAAATGAGAAAGGTCTCATGGAGAAATGTGTGTGATTTACTAAAGCTAGAGAAAGAGGAAGAAACAAAAATAGATGATAGAAGAATAGGGATGTCAGGAGTCATTGCATCTGAGGTGCCACCAAGAACACTGGATAAAATTGCAAATGGGACCCCATTCAATTTTTCCTAAATCTTTCCCCAGGCCAGCAGTTTTCCTCACTGCCACCGAACCAAAGGCTTATCTATTGTGCAGGGGATTGCACCTATCAAGGGAGCCCAACCCAGTCAGGGAAGCGATGATGGGGAACCCGGGAAAAGGGGTGGTGGCGGCAACAAAGAGGCTTTCCTTCGTGAGGGGGGAAAAAGGGGGCTGCTGCGACCCTTTCCCCTCAATCCTCCCCCACCCACCTCCTCTCCGTTCCTGTCTCTTGTTTTATTTCCTCAAACCTCCCGCACCTCCCCTCTCCGTTCCTAAGCCCAGCCCGCCCTCCTCCTTTCTTGAGGAGAACCGGGGCGCTTTTAGGCACGGCGGGCGCGCTTTTCTCCGAGGGGGAAACCCTCCCGGCGCCTCCTTTCTCTACCCCCCCCCCGCGCCTCAATTGGGCCTTTCATCCCCGCGCCCACCCCTTGGGTTCTCCTTTTTTCCTCGGGGTGGTGGGGAGAGAATGACGGTAAGGGCGGTTGGGGGAGCCAGCAACCCTTCAGCCCTGGGCGAGCGCAAGCGGGGCGGAAGGAGGAGACTGAGGAGAGGGCAGCCGAGCGTTCCGAAACGCTGAGCGCGCGCGCGCCGCCGCCGCCGCCACACCTCTCGCCTCCCCCTCTTTTTCCTCCTCCTCCTCCTTCTCCTCCTCCTCCCCAACTCTCCCCGCTGAAGGCTGCCTCTTTTTCTCCCCGGCTCGCCCTCCCCTCGCCCCATTTCCTCGCCAGCCGGGCGCAAGGATGGGCGGCCTAGGCGAACCGCCGCCGTCCCTCTAAGCGAGGCGAAGCCCCGCGCGGCCAAAAGAGACCGGCGGGGAAGCCCCGGCGCTTTGCCCGCTGCCCTCGCTTGGGTTTTTAGGAAGTCGAAGGCCAGCCGGCCGGCTCCTGCATCCTCTTCAGCGGCGGCGGCGGCAGCGGCAGCAGCAGCATCCTCACAAGCGTATCGCCGCGCGGCCAGACGTGAGGTCCGCGGCGCCGGCAGTGCGGCGCCGTCCCTGCATGGGGGGTCTGGGGTCGCCCGCCATCCTTCCCGCCGGCCCCTGGAAGAGAAAGCGGCGGCGCCGCCAACCGCCTTCGGCTTCCCCAGGTGTGACGAGTCGGTCGGCGGGGTCCGCGAGCGGAGGATGGCGCGGGGGGCACTGGTGCTCTGCAAAGGCCCGCACACGCGGTTGCCGGTGGGCGCCAGCGCCCTGGGCTTCCTGGTGCTTTACTGGCTCTACATCTTCCCGGTCTACCGGCTGCCGGACGAGAAGGAGATCGTGGCCGAGGTGCTCCGGCAGCAAGGCAGAGCTTGGCGGAGGAACCTCAGCGCCGCGGCCGAGTTCAGGTGAGCTGCGTCTCGCCGCCTCCCGCGCGGGAGCCGGGAGATGAGCCCCGGGCCGCCGGGATGGTCGATTTGACCCACGCGGGGGGACTGGTCCTCAAGAGCAGCTCACGCCCCCTGGCCGGCGTGCGGCGCGCTCGCTCGGAACCAGACAAAGAACCCGACTTGCTCAGTCGATCCTGAACGGCACAGCCGCTTTTGATGGCTTGGAAACGCGGGTCTCTTTGTCGTGAGAACTGGGAGGCGGCCGTTTTAGGAGGATCTAGCCCCCTCTTCCAAAACCTCTTTGGGAAGGAGCTTGCGAGCAGGGTTTTTAAAAATTGTGCCCTTGCCGATAAAATGGAGGGAGGAACATTATCCCCTTAAGCCTTACCAAGCCCAAATATCTTTTCCTAATGACTATAGATACTTAAAAAAAAAAGTCTAGGAAAAATAATTCTCTGTTTCAAGGATGGTTCTGTTTTCAACCATTTTACTCTACCGTGGTTTTCATTCCACCTTTTCAATTATTGGGCGATTCAGACAATGCCCACCGGCTGGTTGAATGCAACGTTGCACAAACCGTCTAAGCAGGTCATACCCATCCCAGTTAAAAATACCGACAAAGGTGGTGTAATTGGAACAGGAGGGAGTTCACTTAAGTTGAAGGTAAACACCCTGGTGATCTGGATACATGGAAAGGGGCCCAGCAGATTAAACACCATTAATGCAAAGATGAGGTTACCTTAAAGAGATTCATCCAAAGATGTTTTCTTTCAAAAGGCAACTGGACTTCCTTTGTTTTTCCTTGAAGAGTTTAGCTTCTCCTTAAAGAAGCTTCTTTGATTCCAAAGGTGCTTTTTCAAAAGGCAGATGGTCTTTCTTTGTTTTTCCTTGAAAATGTTGAAGAAGCTACTTGGACCAGAAGCGAAACATCTTCAAAGAAAAACAAAGAAAGTCCACTTGCCCCTTGAAAAAGCACCTTTGGGAAAACCATGACTGAGAATTTCCATAGATATTTAGTTTTAAGCTTCTTTGGTTCTTCTGAAAAAGCCTCTTGAGGGGAAGTCATCAAGGAAAAACAAGGAAAGTCCAGTTGCCTTTTGAAAAGAAAAAAACAAACAAATCATGTTTGGGACTGGATGACTGAAAAATCTCCATAAGCATTTAAGAAAAGTTGGGTGTTCTGCAAGACTCTGATACAAGATTGCAGGAAGTTCCTGCTTTGACTTTTAACGTGTCGTGCTTCTCTTAGTTTGAACGGGTTGGCTGCATTTAAACAGTGAAGGATGTGGATCAAAGAAATATTATTTTGAATTCTTTTAAATAATGTACACTGCTCAAAAAAATAAAGGGAACACAAAAATAAGACATCCTAGATCTGAATGAATGAAATATTCTTATTAAATACTTTGTTCATTACATAGTTGAATGTGCTGACAACAAAATCATACAAAAATTATCAATGGAAATCAAATTTAGCAACCCATGGAGGTCTGGATTTGGAGTTACACTCAGAATTAAAGTGGAAAAAAACACTACAGGCTGATCCAACTTTGATGTAATGTCCTTAAAATAAGTCAGAATGAGGCTCAGTAGTGTGTGTGGCCTCCACATGCCTGTATGACCTCCCTCCAATGCCTGGGCATGCTCCTGATGAGGTGGCAGATGGTCTCCTGAGGGATCTCCTCCCACACCTGGACTAAAGCATCCCCCAACTCCTGGATAGTCTGTGGTGCAATGAGACATGATGTCCCAGATGTGCTCAATTGGATTCAGGACTGGGGAATGGGCGGGCCAGTCCATAGCATCAATGCCTTCATCTTGCAGGACCTGCTGACACACTCCAGCCACATGAGGTCTAGCATTGTCATGCATTAGGAAGAACCCAGGGCCAACCGCACCAGCATATGGTCTCACAAGGGGTCTGAGGATCTCATCTCAGTACCTAATGGCAGTCAGGCTACCTCTGGCGAGCACATGGAGGGCTGTGCGACCCCCTAAAGCAGAGGTGGGCAAACTACGGCCCGCGGGCCGCATCCGGCCCGTTGGTCTGTCCAATCCGGCCCGCCCCTGAAAAAAAATCAGTGGGCGTGGCGTATTGCCCTGCACCGCATGACCCCCAAAGCTGCAAAACAGTGCGGAGCGCTCTCGGGGTAGGAAAGAAAAGAAGAACTTTGCAAAGGCCTCGGCTGGGAGTTCGAAATCACCTTCGAGTGCGACCTCTCCGAAGGTGAGTCCCCGCCGATCCCCCTTTTTTTTCCGGGGCTTCCAGGCTTAAACTTTGCAAAGGCAAAGTTTGCAGGCGGGAGCGTCTTCCCGCCGAGAAGCGGGAAGGGTTCCGCCCAGCGGGTGGGGGGGCTTCTTGGAGCGGGCTGCTTGGAGCCACCTAAAGCTAGGCCACTTCTGGTGGAGCCTTGCCCTGCCTTAGTGCCCCGTTTCCCGGGTCGGCAGTCCTGCTCAGGTGGCACTTTAAAAGCCCTCCTCCTCGCGTATGTGCCCGACGAGCCGCTCACCACGACGGCGGCTCCCAGCAACTTGCAGCGTCCTTTTTCCTCGCAGGCGCTCGCGCCTGGCCCCGAGCCGCACAGCGGAGGGAAAACCCGGAGCGCCATCAGGTCGCCTCCTCCAAGCAGCCCGCCCGCCCTCCAGGCAGAAGGGAGGGGACTCCTCGGCGGGAAGACACTCCCGCCTGCAAACTTTGCCTATGCAAAGTTTAAGCCTGGAAGCCCCAGAAACCCGAGCAACTTCCCGGCAACTTTCGGCTTCCTTTCAACTCGCAGGTGCTCGTGCCTGGCCCCGAGCCGTGCGGCGGAGGGGAAGCCCGGAGTGCTGCCGGGTCACCTCCTCCAAGCAGCCCGCCCGCCCTCCGGGCAGAACCCTTCCTGCTCCTCGGCGGGAAGACGCTCCTGCCTGCAAACTTTGCCTGTGCAAAGTTTAAGCTTGGAAGCCCCGGAAACCCGAGCAACTTCCCAGCAACTTTCGGCTTCCTTTTTCCTCGCGGGCACTCACGCCTGGCCCCGAGCTGCGCGGCAGAGGGGAAGCCAGGCAGGCGGGCGGGCTGCTTGGAGAAGGCGACCCGGTGGCGCTCCGGGTTTCCCTTCCGCCGTGCGGCTCGGGGCCAGGCGCGAGCACCTGCGAGTTGAAAGGAAGCCGAAAGTTGCCGGGAAGTTGCTCGGGTTTCCGGGGCTTCCAGGCTTAAACTTTGCACAGGCAAAGTTTGCAGGTGGGAGCGTCTTCCCGCTGAGGAGCGGGAAGGGTTCCGCCCGGCGGGTGGGCGGGCTGCTTGGAGGAGGCAACCCGGCAGCGCTCCGGGCTTCCCCTCTGCCGCGCGGCTCGGGGCTAGGTGCGAGCGCCCGCGAGGAAAAATGACGCCGCAAGTTGCTGGGAAGTTACTCGGGTGCTGGGAGCAGGCTTTTAAAGTGCCGCCCGAGCAGGACCGCCGAGCCGGGAAATGGAGCACCAAGGCAGGGCATATATATATAATTTGCTGCATTTTATAATGGGCCCTTTATAATGGCCTTTTGTATAATTGGTTCGGCCCTCGAACGCAGATCTGATTTTCCATGTGGCCCCCGACAGAAATTAATTGCCCACCCCTGCCTAAAGAAATGCCACCCCCACCATTACTGACCCACTGCCAAACCAGTCATGCTGGAGGATGTTGCAGGCAGCAGAACGTTCTCCACTGTGTCTCCAGACCCTGTCACGTCTGTCACACGTGCTTAGTGTGAACCTGCTTTCATCCGTGAAGAGCACAGGACGCCAGTGGCGAATTTGCCAATCTTGATGTTCTCTGGCAAATGACAAATGTCCTGCACGGTATTGGGCTGTAAGCACAACCCCCACCTGTGGACGTCAGGCCCTCATACCACCCTCATGGAGTCTGTTTCTGACCGTTTGAGCAGCCACATGCACATTTGTGGCCCACTGGAGGTCTCCTGATACCAGGCCTGTCTCTTGGTAGCGCCTCCATGGTCTGGACACTACGTAGACAGATACAGCAAACCTTCTTGCCACAGCTTGCGTTGATGTGCCATCCTGGATGAGCTGTACTACCTGAGCCACTTGTGTGGTTGTAGACTCCGTCTCATGTTACCATTAGAGTGACAGCACCGCCAACATTCAAAAGTGACCAAACCATCAGCCAGAAAGCATAGGAACTGAGAAGTGGTCTGCAGTCACCACCTGCAGAACCACTCCTTTATTGGGGATGTCTTGCTAACTGCCTATGCTTTCCACCTGTTGTCTGTTCCATTTGCACAACAGCATGTGAAATTGATTGTCAATCAGTGTTGCTATCTAAGTGGACAGTTTGATTTCACAGAAGTGTGATTGACTTGGAGTTATATTGTGTTGTTTAAGTGTTCCCTTTATTTTTTTGAGCAGTGTATATTATGTATAACAAGGGGGCGGGGTCCATTGGATGACCAGGAGAGTTCCTTCTTTGCTAAAATGCTTGCTTATTTAAGCTGAAAATCATGTAACCACAAATATTTCCTGCCTGTCTGCTTGCTGTAAGGTTTCCTATTTCCTAGAATACTTGAACCTCAAGTTCAAAAGGACAGTCGCTATAAATTGTATAAAGTGCCTTGCTCTTCTGACTCCAATTCACCAGAGAGGGATTCAGAATCACCTGCTTTTGCAAAAGTATATTAAAATTCTTGTTTGTTGACTTTATCTTGTCCCAAAAATTTGTTAAGAATTTGGGGTCACGTAAATCTGACAACAGTTCTGGCTAAATTAGTAGTGTCTTGGGACAGTGAAATCTGTGCTTAAAAAGCATTCCTCCCTTTTGTGCTTTCTTTTTAAAGAAAGTTTACCTCAGCAATCCTTTTTGTAGGTGAAGCAATGTACTATTTAGATCAGGGGTACCGGTCCATGGATCATTTTGTACCAGGCCGCAAAGAATGAAAGCCTACTTTGTTTGGGTGCTGCCATCTTGTTTCGACGGCGCTTGAGAAAGTGCTTCCGGGTGAGCTTGTCGGTCGTTGGTTGGAAAGCGGCGTTTGAGTGCTGAAGGA